ATATTTCGTTTTTGTATTTATAAATTTTGAATATTATAATGTATTCGAAACTCATAGAGCACAACAATAGTGCAGTGACTCGAACGCTAAACGAAATAGACGATTAGTAAGTTTTATTGCAATTAAAAAGAAAAGACCGTAACCGATTCTGTTCAGGCATTGTGAGAATCGATGATACGCTGATTATGAAATATTTTACGGATCCAATAGTTCATTGGGTAAAACATGGTGTAATATTTTGATGTCCTACATTTGGTTTAGTAATAAACTCTTCCAATAAAATATACAATTTAAACAGTACACCTTATACTTCAGAATTAGCAATTCAGAATATGTATACATGTTTTAGTGCATGGAAGAATTACAAGTTTAGGTACAGCCGTATGACTGTAATACAATGATGTTCAATAACTTATTAAAGCTTCCTATCACGTTCAAAACTCGGTTCACCCTCTATTTAAGGTTACATACTAAAAAGTCTGCATCTACTGGACTTCAATCAATCATAAAACTTTTTTTTTCTTTTTTTTTCTCTCTCATTCGTTACTTACACAATGTAAGCGATAAAAACTGCCTGACCTTACAAGTTTAATCCCATTGCATAAGACCAATTAAAAATGTTGCTTTTTATTAAAGTAATCGTTGTGGAGACCATTGAAGTCAGTTATAATCTACTTACAATATTTTTATTACCGGACTGGATTATATTTGTAGCGTTTTATAACTTGTTCCTGGTTTTTTAATAACTAAACGTTATTATTTCAACTGACTGGTGTAAAATAAGAAAATAATTTTTCGATTAAAAAATATTTATGGTGTTTTATTTTTACGGCATACATTTATAAAAAATAGTTTTATTATTTAATATATTTATAAACTTATAAAGTTATTACGAACAACAATAAACAAGTAAAATGACTTTAACTTTAATGAAGCTACGGCGAAAGCTGCCAAACTATAATTACATTTAAATAGTTTATAAAAAAAACGCACCTTATCTTATTAATTCTACCAAAAATAGGTTGCCTCAACGGTTTTTTAATGCGAATCTACTCCGAAAACTTGCACTAAGAAAAATAGGTTTTTCTTAGCGTTTATCGTTTTTACGAATTACGGTTTGACGATGATAAAGGAACTCCAATCGAACCAGAAAGGCCACCACAGCTTGTGAAACAATAGCGCATCAGCAGCACCTAAGACAAATGTTATGATTTATTATCAATAGTAAAAACTATAATGTACCCATATATGTATACAACTCTACTCTGTTAATAGTCTTTATATCGATATTAACAGGGTTTGAAATCGCTTGCAGTTAGGATTGTAAAGAGTTAATTATGTTCTAAGTAAGAGTCTTAGATTAGATTGTTCCGTTTTTGTTGAAAGACCGGAATACTACAGAGTTTAATACCGTATTTTTTGTTTTAATGTAGAATCGAATATTGTAGAATGTGGGCAGGAGATAGGATTTATCGACTTAATTTATTCTGAACAGCATAATTTGCCGTCTTGTTTGTTTTTACAGTTTCGTTGTGTCAATATTTCTTATGAAATTTTTCAATAGTAGAAAGAACTTTTGCCACAAATTTTAAATAACGTACTATGTGTAAAATAGATTTTGTCCGCAAATTAGTTTTAATAATAAATTATTTTTCATAGGTACACAACACTTCTTTGCACTTTATTTGGCGAATTTATTGTTTATAATATAAATAAATTTGTACTTTTAAAACATAAATATTAAACTATTACTTATAAATATTATTTAAACTTACATGCCCCTTACTATTGCCAAAACACTATCTCAGCTGTATCGATAAACAAATTTAGTCGATTCACTCCCAGCTCTATATCGACGCGGGTTCATCAAAGTCAGGACCACAGACAATAACTGAGAAATATTAAATTATAATAAAATTAACGTGGCTCTTACTTTTTATACCGTTATGGTTTGACTTAAGAACATCTAGACAGGACTCGATAGGATCTAAATTAAAGGGAAAAGTTCAGAGTTTTTAATTACTTGTTAACAGAAAAAAGGTTACGCAATTGTAAAGTAACTTCGCAGTATTTTATCAGGTGAGTGAGTTATTTCTAAGATATAATCGGACACATATAAGCTATGTCTTACCTCCATGTTTATAAATACACACTTATAATGAGCTACTTGTCTAACTTATAAGTAATTGGATCTACTTTCACTTTCAAAACATAATTACAGTCCTAATATTATTATTTTTATGTTCCAAAACCATTGCGATGATTTCGTAACCCAAATTGCAGGGTTACATGAGAATAAATGACACCGTTGACATATATCAAATTATCTAAATTTGCAAGTTAGCTAAAGTTATAATAATAAGAATACTCTTTAATATAAATATTTTAATGCTACTGTAGTATTGTATCAGCTGTATGGTATCTTTATATATATAATTCTTCTGTGAGTGTGTATGTCACTGAACTTCTCTCAAACGACTGGACCGATTTTAATGAAATTTTTTGTGTGTGTTCAAGGGGATCTGGGAATGGTTTAGATTCAAAATTTTGTCCGCTGGACAATGTTTTTTTAATTATTTTTAATTTATTAGTAGTTGTTGATTTTGGAATGTTTTACATTGGATCAGACAGACGGCGCTACCATCGCAGTGTCAAATTTGACAGGTCAACGTCTGTCGGGTCCGCTAGTATATATATATGCCTAACTATAAGTAGTTATAGTGGAATATTTTAAATGATTTCAATGTCTTCTACTGTAGCCCTCATGGTAACCATTTTGTTTTAGGAGTTTAATTCTGCACTGTCTTGAAGAAAAGTCATCAATTTACAAAATTCATCTTAATTTGAACATCTCCATATAATATTTTATATTTTCCAGTAATAACAATTTGGAAAACTTAATATGAGTGTGCCCCTCAATTTATACTTATATATTCGAAACTGTTAATTGGTTTGTGTACGCTTCGAAAACACGATCATTCTGCACCGATTGAGCTTGTTTTCATCTATTTTTCGCGTCAGTTTTATTCTACATTTCTCATCAATGCAACAACAATGTACTACAGCGAAGTCTGGCAGTCAAGTCTGGCAATCTTCTTCTGAAAGTCAAGTCTATGCATCGTGTACTCTATATGTTACCGTCGCCACACTACGATTATTCATTCCGTACGGTGACACATGACGAATCAATTTACGAACGAAGCCAATTGGAATATGGTTTCCGAACGTATGCGTTTGTCTATGGAATCGTTTTTTTTTATAATGATAGGCGCGGGCTTTGATTGCGAGATCCGGTAAGATTTGATGTTAATGATAATGATTATATTATTATTGGAATATAATATTTTGTTGGCGGTCTGTTTTATCTGAAGAAAGAATTATTTAGAATCAAAATATAAGTATATCCGTCGTTTTTGGTCGTAAATATCTAGTGATTTGTTTAGCTAGACAGTTACTTCGACTTGAAGGTAGCGGACATTCTTATTACTTATAATTTACGACTGGTTGTATAGATAAGAAGTGTTCTCAGTACATTCATAGCGAAAAGTATAATAAAACGATAAAAAAAAAGAAAAAAACATTTGTTTCTTAAAAAATCCATAGACTATTCACAAAGAAATTACTACTTAGAGGCAGCAGTGCGTTATCTGTGACAGATATTTAAAAAAAAACTCCTTGTCTTTTAATTACACGTTACAGACATCGCGTGGATAAAACAATAATTTATTTCAAATCTTAGCACGGAAGACATAAGGTCTACTTTTTGTTGAGTAGTGATTTACAGATAAAAAAAGGTAGTGAATGTACACACTGACGGTTAATTATTAGGTGTGTGACATAATTACTGTTCAGGGATTGTGGGGATTCTTTTTGCTTTTAATTTTAGTAAAAATAAAATGTTTTTGTTTAAGTAATAGTTAATTATTGCAGCCGAGTGTGGTAAATATTCTGATATACCTGTAGTCATAGTAAATTAACTCTTGAATTGTAAAACTTATAACGTTATTTTCACTTAGTTCTGTGGTTTTAATTTAAAAATATATAAAAATATTTTAAAAAGTTTTCTATCTATAGCCTGACTTTAACTTTCGAACTTTTTGTAAAGAGTAAAGAAAAAAGGTGACTGAGTGATTTTGAGTTCTGAGTACTACGTATTAACAGTAGGTTTAAAAATTTCTAATCTGAATAGGGTAGACGACTGTTAAGTCAAATCAGTAAAATGTACTGTGTTTATGATGTTGAGGTTTAGTAAGTAATCGAGTTAAAAGCTTAAATGTCATAACGATAGACGCGGTATATTTTGTAGGAAATGATATGAAATGTTGATATCAATAGCTCAAATCAATACAAAGATAAAATTGATAATGGAGGACAATTCAGGCTGTATTTTAAGATGTAACATTATATGATTCTGGTTAAATAATTAATTTCAAACCTAGGAATCTAATGTTATGGATTATACACGGGACTGGTCACCCGATGGTGAGTGACTACTTTGACACCTGCAACAAGAAAGTCACAAGTGCGTTGTGACTCTATAGACTAGGGATTCCCAGAGTGGTCGATATCGACCCTTGGGATCGAAATTTGTTTCCCGGGGCTCGACATAAGCGAGCTGATTTTTTGGGTCAACGAGGCCTGAAAATCAACCCCTATAAAATAACACAAGTTCTCATTTGAAACTTTTAAGATATTGTATTAGTTGTGTTACGTGTATTGTAAGAATGACTAATATTTTAGTAGGAAGTATTATTGTTGTACTTTTAAAACTCAACAAGTCGATGAGCGTGCAGTCATTTTGCTATGGGGGTCTGAGGTATCAGTTAATTTTAGAAAAGGGATTTCTTGCCCTAAATAGTTTAGGAATTCCTGCTTTAGACAACATTAGCGGGAGTACAGTCTTATAATAAAAGTTCGAAAGTCGTATCGAAAATTGAAAATACATCAGGTGACAATCAAGCAGCTGTTAGTTTTTACTAATTAATATTTTAACCACTAACCTGAGTTTGCGTTAGTCCAAGACTCGCAGCAAGTTCAGCCCTCTCAGGGAGCGCCAAATACTGCGTCCTCTGAAACCTCCTATTTAGTTGCTGCAGCTGAAGGCTGGAGTATATCGTGCGAGGCTTCCTCATCTTCTTTCCTTTGCCGTTGACACGAAGACCAGGGTCATCTGACAGGCCGCATTTTTCTGTTGAAAAAATTAAAATTGTAGATTAAAAATTAAGTGAAAAAAAGTTGAGTGAGTCTAACTTTTAATTGAATGAAAACTGTTAATTTCCAATAAAATGTGCACTCTGTGGTGTTAGATGTTTTTTTAACCATAGATTTAAAATGCTTTTCGAAGCTTGTCATCAGACTATATTTTATCATGATAATAATTCGCTCTAGTTTCTAAAATTAATATCCATTATTCATAAGCGTATTTCATTCGTGAAAATAGATTGAATCTTCGAGAAAACCAGTCAAGCGAATAAAGAAAGTGTACAATAGCTGAAGATAGAATACGGCTTCAGTAAAAAAGCTAACTTTAATCGTAAAAATATACAACTAAGTTAAAATATCGTCGGTAGAATTTGCCAATGCAATTTTAACAAAATGTCAGAATAACACCTTTTTACTTAGCAGGTCAGTGGGACCAGTAATAAAACACGTTTTATTTCCATCTTAAACATCTATAGATAGTTATTAGGTCGATAAAACTGAGTGACTAACTATCCGTTCCCTGTCTAAATTGGCCCTAATCCTTGCATACAGCCTTGAGATGTCTTATAAGTGGCTTGAAGCAGTGAATAAAGTTGTGATTCGATTTATTCAAATAGATTTGAGAAAATTTCAATGTGTATTTACTCTGGCCTGGCCACAAAGTACTGTATATTCACGTAAGGGAAGGTATTACACACATTTTAACTAGTTGTCAGATCTCTGTGCTGATATTAAACATTTTCTAATCAGTATTCGAACTGTGTATTGCCAAAAATGTTAACTAAAAGTCTTTGTTTTGAAAATGGTAAGAAGTCTGTACAACAGTTTGATAACTACAAGACTCTTACATTGTTTTGATAGTTTCCTGAAGAGACCATGGCAAGAATCTTAAAAAGAAGATCAGGGAAAGAAGTTGATTTGTAACTGCATAATACAACTCCATTTTGCTAATCTGTTTACCTATGTAGCATTATACAATGATTTAAAGTAGCTTTGAATATCATCAAGATCTAGTCTGAGTGTATGCAATCATAGAGTAACATATTATTGCCTGTGGTGAAAATGTTAAGAGTGGCATCACTGACGAATAGTGTATTTAAAAAATATATTCAAAATAGCCAGCTGGTACTATCTTAATATTTTCACTTAAAACTCTTAGTTGATATTACTTTTATTGGTTTCAAACGTCGTCGCCAGTTAGTAATTATACTGTCGGTACTTTTAACGCGGGAAAGCAGTATTTTATACCTTCACTTCAAAGTATTGAAGTAATAAAAATCAATCAAGTTAAGCGTTGGCGCCGAAATGGTTTTAATTAATTATTCTAACGTTTTCTACAAGACTAGTTTATTCACGCTAGTTATAGATTATAAGGAATATAGAAACGAGTTGATTTAAGGAGTATAAATAAAAATATAGACACCATAGAGAGATGTAGAAAAATGGCTGCCTGGTGGAAGTGATATAAAAATGATATCAATACTTTTCTTTTAGAAGGAGAAAGTTTTCATGCAATAGATGTGTTACAGAGGAAATTGAGTAAAATTTCGTGAAGAGATTTTTATGTATAGAAGCTGACTGGACCTAGAGTAGAGGATGAGCAAAGAAACTATGGACTAATTACTGTTAAGAAGTTATCGCTGGAACGGAAGTCAGCAGTGAAACAAAATGATGATAGTATAGTATGACGTATATATATGATAATATGAAAATGCCTATGGCATTAAGTCGGCCTTATGAAATGTACTTAGAGGAAGTATAGAATAAATAAATCAAATTAGATAAATTGATAACAGAATTATATCTTTGAGAATGGCAGGGCACGCTTACAACATCTGTCATCAAGTTGTAGTGTATCTATCAATGTTTTTATAAGTATTGTTAAAAAACGTTATAATATAATGAAATAATTATATGTTGTATCTTAGTCTATGATTAAACTGACAGGAAATAAGTTCATTTACGTAAAGCATTAACAATGGAAACGCTTTGTTTTGCAACGCACTTCTTAGTCTTTCATATTTCAATGATGAAATTTTTTATTGTGTAATAGCCGAGTATTCAAATCATAATCTAAATGTCACGTTCATGTCATCTGCAGTAAAAAAAGTTAGATTATTTACTTCAAAGTGTAGTTCAAAATTCAAACTTGCGAAATGCGTTTGAATACACAGTATACTATACACACCCTCTATAAATCAACATACATAAACATTGCACATAAATCTCCAATATAAATATTCAACACGAGACTGGCTGAAGCATGGCCATCCATTTTGTAAAATATATATGAAAGGCATGCGCTACTTGATAATAGTCAGTGGTAAGTTGTAATTACTGGTTTCGTATCGCAACATCGGATCGGACCAACACCCCGCTTTTTGGTAAGCGTGCTGTATCTGGGCTAGTGGTGCGAAATAAATCGATATGCCGAGTGTAGTCGATTCGCTTGATTTATTATCGAATTGTGGGTAGATGATATTTAGGGAGTGCCTTTTTTTGGGAATAAGGATCTAAACATTTACATACATCCTTTGAAAAGGCTATATATAATATAATATTACCTCATTAGTGTATCAGTCAATTGCATTTATTCATAATATCAAAATAGTCAAAATGAAAAGTAGGAAAATATTAACGAAATAAATATTCGTTAATATGTTTTTAAAAGATATTCTTATGATATTTTTTCATTCACATTAAACTAAAAAAGCAAAAATTTACAAAATCGACTAACTTTTTGACCAAAATAGGCACAACACTAAAATAACGCACGATTCTCAGCGCTGCATATTAATATCGAACGCACTTTAACTTTTTTATTCGGTATACGAATGCCCGGCGTGGAAAATTTTGAATTTGGAGTTGTCCGCGGCTCTTTTGGTGTGCTTTTTAAAAAATCGGACGGCATCTTGTTTTTAGTTTAGATGCGGTCGTGATTATTTTGGCGGTAATGGAATCTTATTACTCACTTTTGAAAACGCTAAGTACCTTCTTTAGTAAGATTTTGGTTTAATCAGTAATATATGCAGTGAATACTCTTACTGCATACATAATTATTACCTGTAAATATGTGCCATAAATATTATCTTACTTTATTTGACTATTATAGTGAAAGATGAATGAAAGAGTTTGGGTGGAAATTGGCACAAGGGAGAATATTCTAGAGTAGCAAAGAAAAAGTTCAAGTGGAAAACAAAGCAAAACCGCGGGCAACAGCTAGTATGTAAGTAATGGTGTACTTTTTAAATTTATACCGATCGGTATTCTTTGTAAAATATTTAAAAACATCGGTATGTTTTTAAATATTTTACAAAGACTTTTCTCTTCCATCTCGAAAAAAAAACGTTATTTAGAAATCTTAAAATCAGTGGCCAATTTTAAAAAATCTGTCGTACACAATCGCTTTTTGAAATAATTTACTATTTTTATACCAATTAAATTTAATCAAGTTATTTGAAATTAAGTTTTTCAGACGTTAACCCTTGCGGTCAGATTACAGATATGCAAAATGTTTGCATAAACACCCTCATATTTCAGACGGCTGATATTAATGCGACCATAAAGTTAGAGTATTTGCTTTCTGATAATGGCGCGAAAATGGTATCCATTACATGGAAATGATATATATTCACAGTTTTCGCATCTATTCGTAAATACGGACAAAATATATTCTACTTTTGAATAGTAAGCGTTTACTAACTGGCTACACTAGAAAACTAAAAGCACCTACGTTTAAAATTCTCTGTATTGTATTTTTCTTTTTAACTGCCAGTTGCTTTTTCAATTAGTATTTTCAATTGTTTAGATTTTATTATAAAATCGGCTTCCTTATTCAACGATATTAGTGTTACCATTAAAGTTAGGTTAAGGAAGGTAGGCATAGTAGATTTCTGCTTTCATTGGAGTCGCTTTACTAACATAATGTGAATAGTTGCACCCCTCTTCTAGATATGGAGGAATGTGGAACGTATTTCACGCAACTCCTTGAAGTTAAGAAGTCCACTCGTGACCAAAATTAGTGCAATTCGGTCGAAACATCGGAAACCCAAAATATATGCCAAATAGTCCAGCTTACTTAAATGGTGTACTCCCTGGGATTTTAAACCGTTATCTGTTAATCACAACTCTGATGTTTGATGATTTTACTACCGCTTCTTTGATCTTCTAGCAGTTTCCCACCTTCACTATGTGATTCGCCGTTACGTACTACCACAGTGGTATAATAAAAGAAAAACAGTAAAACTTACAGTTTACACAGTTTAAAAATATCCCATGACATTCAAAGTCACATATTAATTGTCTATCATTCTTCATATGAGTATCAGAAAAATTCCCATGGTCTTATACAAGTTGTATGTATGTATGTGTCGGCGTCCGTCATACGTACAGACAAAACAATGCCAGCCTCGGGCTCCGACACACCCTCCAGCCACTAGTGGTGTATGTATACGGTGTCGATAAATAGTGATGGGACGGTTAAAAAGACGATTTTTTTAAATTTATTTACACAGCAGCAAGAAGTAATATTTTATTTAATCAATTACATGCAAACGAATCATTACTACTTTATTCTTTTATTATTTGGCTATTTCTGTCATAAAAAAGTAACAAACATCTCTACCTATCTGTCTTTCGTGCTTTACAATATTTGTAAGATCTGGATCTTTAAGTAATACGCAAGAGAATAGTTTTCTTTTACCCGTTCACACTAACCCAAAAAATGCATATAAGATTTAAAAAATAAATTCATTAAAATTTACAATTACAAAATAATGCATTAATCAATAATTATTTGACAATAGCAAGCTATGACGTCATGGGTTGTTATTCCACACAAGTGGTCTACATAACATACCGTTCTGATACTATTCTATCTGATAATAATACAGATTTTTTATAAACTAACATTAACTACGTCAAGAAATAAGTTGTTAATGTAAATTTTTTTTAGTTGCAGTAATTACTTACAATAGTTGCAAGACA